GATTTTTGCTTCTGGCTCTTCTAATGACCTGACAATATAATCTTTGAAAAGTAAAAATATGTCTATTTGTACATGAGCCATATAAAAGTATTTACCTAAATGACAAAAATGCTAAATAAATCATTTACTTGAGATTTTATAAAAATACAAAATTGAATATAAACTATCTCTAGATATAGTTTATCTAAAAATTTCCCAGCAATTTCCTACTCCTCTTTGCTTCAAGTTTAAGAGCCTTAATCAGATTACCCTAGAAAATATAAAATAGCACTACAAGTGTTGTGTTACAAATGTTTAAAATATACTAAACATATTTTGAGCTTGCCAGAAAGTAGGAAAGTCCCTACAGATCAGTAAACAAACAGGAAGCTAAAAGCTAAAGTTGTCATCATGAACTGACACTGGTTTGAGATTTTAACAACTACATGGTGTACAGGATGAGGCCTTGGACCCAAGGAAGGCACGACTTAGAAGTGAGGACTAGAAAAAAACAGTGACATAAAAGCAGTCACTGGTACCTTATTCCCTTCACCCCCTCAAGTATTACTTCCCTTTCTTTTCTTCTACCGGACTTTCCCAGACCACTTTCCTCCATAGCTATTTTCTCTGCTAAGTTCCTAAATTCTGGTGTTGCTTTTACTTCGTTATCAATTGTTTTCTATTAAAATTATTAATTATTTATTAAATGTTTCTGATCATTTTCTATTAAAATTAATAACTTATTTGTCTATAAATTGACAAGTTATTAACTGAGAAAAGATGAGTGTTTGATTGTAATCTCCACCAACAATAACCCCTATTCTTGTCCAGGAAATTGATGCATTATAACTAGAAATGGAAGGAATGAGATGAATAATGTGGAAGAAAATTAAACACAGCAGCTAAAGAGTTAACAGAGGGGAAGAAAATACAGTGTTCTTGTCCACTGGGCAACATGATCTGGACTTCTAACCTCCAGATTATTCTGTCTTTATTGAATGAAGGCACCACTAACCACCCACTTGTACAGGCCAGAAATTTAGAAATTGTCCTTTCCCTTTTCCTCAGTATCCAACCCATAACAAGGTGCTATCCATTTTACTTCTTAACTATCTTTCAAATCTATCCTCTCTATATACTATATCAGGTTTTCTCAACCTCAGAACTATTAATATTTTGGGCTAGATAGTTCTTTGTTGTGAGAAGTATCCCTATACACTATAGGATGTTTTGGCAGAATTCTTGGCTTCTACCTACTAGATGCCAGTAGCAGCACCAAACCCCCCATCCTGTCTAGTGACAACCAAAGATGTCTCGAACATTGCCAAATATCCTTGGTTTGCAAAACAGCCCCCCAGTTGAGAATCACTGCCTTATATCAAGTTATTATCATTTCTTGCCCAGTACACTGCAATAGCTTCCTAGTGTGTCTCCCTGAATCCACCATATCACTGCATCCCATCCTGTAACTCATTCTCCATATGATAACCAGAGTGATATTCCAAATCCAATCTTATCAGTCCCTGCTTAAAGCACTACAGTGGCTCCCCATTTCTCTTAGAATAAAATCCAACATCCTTACTACTGCTTTATAAGGTCCTAGCTCTCACTTCTCCAGATTCATCTTGTACCTCACTGTATCCTACTTCCCCTACTTCACTGCACTCTAGCCACACTGGCTACCTTTCAGTTCCTCAAATGGGTCATTCTCTCTCCAACCATTGGGCTTTGCCTCAACCCTCTGCCAGGAAGGTTCTTCTCCCACCTCTCATAACACTCTTAGAATAAGTAGATGCTATTTTTAAAATAATAATAACTATCTGGGGGCTGTGGATTAAAAGCTGTAACCTAAAGAAAAAGTTGAATGCATTCTGATGGCTGGAAAAGAGGACACACTGTATCTGGGACAGAGTAGACAAAGATTAGTGATGACCAACAAGGAGAAAAGATAGAGGACAATGTGTCAAAAGAGTCACAAAACCTACTTTCTAGACCCTGTTCTATCACTCACTAACCATGTGATTTGTTTTTAATTTATATACAGGAAAATTAACTTTTTTGTTGTCCAGTTCTATGCGTTTAAACATGTAACCACCAGTACAATCGGGACACAAAACAGTTCCAAAACCCCCAAAATTCTCTGGTGCTGGCCCTTCGTAGTCAAACACCTCCCCACACCAGCCCTTGGCAACAACTGACCCATTCTTTGTCCTATACTTTTTCCTTTTCCTGAGATTCATACTTAATCTGAGTCTTGTTTCTTCAGTCATGAAATTATATACACACACACACACATACACACACACACACACACACACACACACACACACCACGAGGAGATGGTATATATACATACCATCTTCTTTATATTAAAATATTAAGCTACTTATGATGATTGTCTACCATGGCTAAAAAACCTGGTGTATGTTAAGCATTCTGTCCAGGTTCATATTTAGAAAAGGCTTTCTTTGAATTTGTGGCTAATGCCCAATTTTTGGAATTCTGCATCTTAGACTTTCAGTCTTCTCCAGAAGGATGGCTCCATCTCGGATTTCTCTGTGCTACCTTGGTGGGCCTGTAACTTTGCTTAGTCCTACAAAGCTATGAGCTCCAGAATGTTCCTAACCTCTCCTGTGGTTGTCCTTCCTCAGTGGACCACACTGCAGTAGCTTGAGCAGCTGACTGCAATTTTCTTTTCAGCAGTATTTGCTGGGGGGGGGGGGGGGGGGGGAGGGGCGTTCCAAGCTTGTTCTAGCACTTTGCTCTTTATGAACATAGCTTATCATTGAATGTCTAAAGGTAATACTGAAGATACTGTTAAGTCAACAGTCAACTGAAGGAGAGTCAAGCCTCACATCCCCGTCGATGATCTAATATGAAAAACTCACTGCCTTGTCTCATAGAGTTGTTACACTAATAAATCACAAGAATGCTATATATAACATTATAAGGATTTTAATAAATGCATCTGACAAAATCATTCATAATTCTCTTAACAGTGTAACAGATTAGGTATAAGTGTAATTGTTTGAATAACTAGGTCTTAAGGTATTGATTAACTAATTAATGTCTCCCTAAAATAAGGCCTCTAATGGTATACTACAGGAGTCTAAACTTGGTCCTACCCTATTTACATATTTTAGTTAATGAATATTAACTAAGACACAGAAGCACGATTACTAAGTTTATAAATGTCATAGCTAGTAGGGGTAGTTAAAAAAAATTTATTAGAATCATACTTCAAAAAATATCAACATAAATCAATAATATGAAACAATGTAGACAAACTAATATGCTGAAATGTAATAGGAAGGAAAAAGAGATCAACTACAAAAATATAGAAAGAGAGAGACCTAGTTTGACAACAGCTCACATAGTAATATCTGGGCATATTAGTAGATTACAAATTCATTATAAGTCATTAATGTGACATGACTTAATTTAAAAAGTAAAAACACACTATTACATTGCTCTTTTCAGGTTCAGTTATAAACTCCATGTTACCAATTCCAGCAGTCAGTTCTCAACCTCATTTTTCACCTCCTAGCAGCATTTAACAAAGGTGATCATCCATCGTTTTTGTACCACTTTCCTTTTCCTTGCTTGACATTCTCTTGGCTCTCCTCCTACTCACTGGTTGCTCTTACCAGCTTCCTTTAGGACTGATGACTCCCAAATTTATACCTCCAGTCCAAACATTTCCATTGAAATCCAAACTCTTAAATGCATCATCAGCCTCATAATCGTAGAAACCCTACTTCCCTACCCAAGTTAGCTTTTCCTATAGTCTTCCCCATCTCAGTAAACAGCAATTTTATCCTTCCAATTGCTCAGGCCAAAATCTTTGAGTCATTCTTGATCTTTTTTATTTCCATATCCTATATTCATTCCATCAGTAAATCCTTTTGACTCTGTCTACAAAATCTGACCACTCCTACCACCTGCACTGCTCCATCATGTCCCCTTGGGATTGTTACAGTCATCTCCTAAATGGTCTCCCTACTTCCAACCTTGAAACCTCATCCCCACAATCTATTCTCAGTACTGCAGCCAGAGAGATCCTTTGAGAACACACATTTATTCAACATTCATTCTAAGACTATTTACTGAGATCCATCCATGTGCAAGGCACTGTTTTAGGTACTTAAAATATGTATACCTGTGAACAGAGGAGAGAAAAGTTGCTGCCCTCCTGAAGCTTTTGCATCTTGGCAGAGGACAGATAATAAACTATATATATAGTAAATAAGTAAACTACATGGTGGCTCCATAAGTGCTATGTGAAAAAAATAGAGCAGGTAAAAAGAAGTGGTGCCAGGAAAAAAGAGCATGGGTTGTAGATTTAAATGGGAGATGAGTCTAGGCTTCATTGGCAAAGTAACCTTTGAGCAAAGACCCGAAAAAGGTAAGAACTTAGCCATGCAGGTATCTGGCAGAATAGCATTCCAGTCAGATGTTAATATTAAGAATGCATAAAATATTATTTTTGGTTCTTTCAACCTTCAACTGACCACATGATGGGCTGAAAGACACAAAATTTAAACTTGTTTTTATCTATATATTATTGTATTTTAATTTTTAATAATGTCCTAATAAGCCAGAAGTGCTTTTTCAGAAATGATAAATGAAGTATCAGAAACCACTTATGCAGGAAAGCTTTAAGTCTTTTTCCAAGATTCAATTAGGAACTTTTTCTTTCATTTCATGGAGTTTCTTTTATGGCCCATAAAATGCAGTTAGAGAGGCCTGTATTTTTTTGATATGCACACATGGCATATCTAATGCTCAGGGAAAAACTGCAAGTGCATCAAACACGGGAGATCACGTGGATTTAGGAAAGATTTTTCAAATATTATACAAATACTGACTGATTTTTCAGATTGTTAGTTATAAAACTTAGGATAAAGCAAAGTAATCAGATTTATTAACACAATAAAATGAGTCCAAAATTGTGAATTTTTAAAAGCTTGTTTGTTTCTACCTAATTGGATAAGACACTACAGCACAGTGTTTGTTTTTACCTTCCGGTGGCCTGTTGGATGTTGCCACAACGACGACCCCGTTTTTGAACAGATTTTCAAAAAGCTGTTTCAGAATCATGGCATCAGCAATGTCAGTGACCTATGGACAGCAATACATTTGTTTTATTTTAATTTCACTTCTGCTCTAACAAATTTGCTAATGGCTCATCCTTTTTAAAAAAAAAAAAATAGAAGTGTATTCCAAGAGAAAAATTCTAATTATCATGAAGAAAAGAGTAGATAATTAAAAGCATGAAAGCCTGCAGTCTTTAAACTTGACTCTTCTTTTTTGCAAGCCTATCATTTCTATCCAAATTATCAACTGATTCTATGTTAACTTATTTTATAGAACTACAGGTGGAAAGCACAGATAATTGTCCTAAACATCTAGGAAGTCTAACTAATTAGAACTAACATGACCAACTCCCCCCTCCTACTCCCATCACAGCCTCCCTCCCCAAATAAAGAAGAGAGAGAAAAAAAGAAAAAAAAAAAAATACACAGGCTATTTGAGATTTCTAATACCTTTCTGGCAAAGGTCCCTGAAAAGGTGACTTTAAATGGTCATGGGACTTTAGAAATAAGGACAAGTAGCCAGTGAGACATAATCAGCTGCTGTTGAAAATAGAATGATATGACATAGATACTATTGTGCAATTGTTGCACAAAACAATTCAACAGATGGCCCATCACAAAAATAAGCAATTTCATTGTTCTTTTTAAGTGCCTTCTATTACTGTCCATGAATAATCAAAAGGCACTGCAGTCACTTCCAGCACAGCCAGCCTCTGCTAACCTTCCCAAACACAAATATTCCTTCTACCAAAAAAAAACACAAAACCTTACAAGAATGGTTAACACAGTGCTTTAAAAAAAAAAAGCTTCTGACAAAACCAGAAATGCATAATGCAGATAACACTATTTCATCTAAGTTACAGAGATACATATAACCACTGATCTTTACTAAAATTTTTTTTAAAAATCCACAATTAGCAAGTAAGCTTAATGGTAACTTTGTTGTTGTTTTTTTTAATCCCCGAAAATAGAGAGAGGCTCAAGAGGGAGGGGATATGGGGATATATGTATGCATATAGCTGATTCACTTTGTTGTACAGCAGAAACTAACACAACATTGTAAAGCATTTATACTCCAATAGAGATGTGAAAAAAAAAAATAATAAAAATTTTAAAAAGCGCTCCTGAAAAAAAAAAATCCCCAAAAATACAGAAACTAGGGAGGGTAGGAAGTTGACTTCAAAAAATAAATATATAGTGAAGATTGATGTTAATCATTGCACCTTCCCCTAAGAATATAATAACATGGGTTTTATATTCTCCCAATGTAAAAATGCTTTGATCTTCCTTTAACAGCACATTTTAGATAATCTCAATAAAACTTATTTTATATTCACAAAATATATCACACAATATATATCACATTGTTTTTTTTGTTTGTTTTGTTTTTTTGCAGTACGCGGGTCTCTCACTGTTGTGGCCTCTCCCGTTGCGGAGCACAGGCTCCGGACGCGCAGGCTCAGCGGCCATGGCTCACGGGCCTAGCCGCTCCGCGGCATGTGGGATCTTCCCGGACTGGGGCACGAACCCGTGTCCCCTGCATCGGCAGGCGGACTCTCAACCACTGCGCCACCAGGGGAGCCCCACATTGTTATTTTTAAACCATGTTAAAGTACATAGAAACTAGTGGAATTCTTTCAAATTAGATCGTAATACTAAAAGTTGCCAACTAAATGGTTATAACACTATGAACAGTAACAACCTGGGTGACAGAGGTCTAAATCACTTTTCTCTTTCAGCTGATATCTTACTCAAAAGTTCAATTATTTCCTTTCCACCTGAACAAAACAAAACAAAACCAGGATATGGGAATGTGCAGATCTTTTTTTTTTTTTTTTTGCTGTTTCAGGCTATAACTTTAAAATATTAACTAAAAACCTACTGAAGATTCCTTAAATTAAAAAGACTTCAGGAACTTACAAAGTGGTGATTAAAATGAAAAGGAAAGTGGTACTGATATTATTTAATTTGGAGCTTAGGATCACTGTCAAATTTTGCTTCCGCCAAAACACTCACAGAGAAGGCCCTTTTCAAATGCTTAAACACCAGTGGCATTTCTGATGAGAGGACAGAACAAGCTTGCAAATTTTAGAAGCAACTGCACTTTTAAATTGGATTCCCAATGCACTGACTTTTAAAAAGAATGATATCAATTAAAATCACCCAATTTTAGAGAATAAAAATGATCATTTGACTATCTCGCTGAGGTTCTTGAAAAAAATAAAAATAGCTTTTGTGCACTAAGGTTCAGAAAAGTGAAGGGATGTTTAGCTTATAACACTGTACAAAGGTTTAAACTGAAAGTTGAAGAAAGCAAACAATAAGGACTTGTGGGTGAATTATCATTTGTTGTTTTTGTCTTACAGAATGTTTTTGCTCTAGCAGAGTAAATTAACTTGGAGAAGCTATGGCTAATTAATAAAGCAGGAGTCACTTGGTGTAGCCGGGTGCCAATGTATACTCTTTTGATCTTGTCCCTGCACTTGTTCAGCTTTGCTGGGGAACAGAAATTTTACAGTATAAGTGAACAGAAGACAATTGGCCACACATTCTTGAAGAGCGAGCTTTTTCAGCACCCAGCATTTCATTACCACCAGGAACAAAAGAGAAGCCTACAGATTACCACTAAGGGTAGTCTGCTAATACAGAGAGTGGAGACATTTCATTAGCATTAAAGAGAGAAGATTTTTTATGACCTAGAGTTGCTTTCCATTATGACTCACTTAAGTAAAAAAAGGGAAAAAAAAATCTAACTGTTAATTTACATGTGTAAGTGCTTGCGTCTCAGTCATCCACTGATTGGTACAGTGCCATGTAATGAGTGACAAACATAAGCATGCATTATTAGTAATTAGTATTAGCACAGAAATAAGCATCTATTTTTATTAGCAGTTTTTAATAGCTTTCCTGTTTTATAAAAATGGTCAAAACTATTTTTTAAATGATATTGATAGCTTACAGAGGAGAATTTTGAATGATATTCTGCTCATCAGAATTCTTTTTCTGGGGGGGGGTGCATATTAGTAAAACATCTAACCAGTGTCCCTAAAAAGAGACATGAAAAAATAACATTTTTAAAAAATTTGTTCTCCTTCAGTATTCTGATATCTTCAGAATCACAAATGGTTTAATAAGAAATGTTAATATTCAAAGAGAATATAATGAAGACCCTAAAGAAAACTTTATTCTTTTATTTCAGTAATTAAAACACATAAAAACATCCTATCTACAAATTTCTCAAACAAGATAAGAATACTGCATCTATCCCACGTAAAACTGAAATACTACACTTAGTAAAGATGACCAAGCTAATGAGGAATACCTTCTGCAAATGTAATCCGAATGCTACGAAAACATAATCTTAAAAATGCCCTAAATTCAAGAGAAAAGACTATATTCTTATTTTTAAGCAGCAACAATTCCTATTCATCCCCCTAGTAAAATAAATATTATACTAATTAACATCACCTAATGGCCAATAGTAACTAGTTAAAAATCAAGACCACTAATAGGATTCAATTTGAAAAGTGAAGTGGTGATTGCAGACATACTGTTGTTAAGATTAAAGTGCCTAAAAAATTCTTTGCTAGTAAATCAGCAATGTATCGTACTAGGCTTAATAGGCTTAAGGATAATTTTTAGGTTCCATCATTAAAACATCTACTAAAAGCCCACCCAGTTCTAGGTCTGTATATTTAAACACATAATAGAAGACATATAGCAAAGAGAACACATAACATAGCTTTTACTACTAGTGAATAAGAGCACTGATGATGGATTCAAATGTAGTTACCAGCTGTATGATCTTGGAAAAGTCACTTAACCTCTCTGACCCTTAATTCCCTCATCAATCCAATAAAGGCAGTAATAACAACTACTCTGCAAAATCGTTACAATACGTATGGTAAATCCTCAAGAAATGTTGATTATGACTGTTACCTATATATGTTACATATGCTAGGTTAAGTCCTTATTATTTACGTATAGCTATACAGAATTTTAGCTGTAGATGGAATGATACATAGCATAGTACAGTAGTTAGCAACACAGAAAGCACTCAGTAAACAGTAGGTAATATTATTACAGAATATACTAATAGATAAAATAAAAGCTTTCTAATAAATAAATGGGCATTGAATCAAACAGTTCATAAAAGATGGATATTAACAGTAAGCAAATAGATATTAAAAAAATCAACCATAATATTAAAGAAATATACATTAAAACAATGAGATCCCATTTTTCACCTATTAAATTAGACAAAAATGTGAAGATAATTTAGAATGTTGACAGGAAAAAATGCAGGTTGTTATATATAAGGGAAGTGGGACTTAGTTGGGGGACTACTTCAACAGTAGTTGAACTACTGTTGAACTAGTAGTTGAAACTACTTTTATTCATTCATCTGTTCACTCATTATTATTGTTCATTAATTCATTCTCAAGCACTGTTCTAGACATTTCAGATATGTCAATTAGCAAAACAAAGATTCCTGCCTTCAAGTTTACATTCCTGTAGAGAAATAATGATAATAAGCAATAAACACAATAAATAAGTAAATATATGTCAGAAGGCAATATATGTTATGAAAAAAAAGGAGGGTAAGGGGAATTAGAAGAGTGGGGGGTCAATGGCAAATTGCAATTTTAAACAGGGTTTAGGCCTTGTTAAGGAAGTAATTGAGCAAAGATCTGAAGAAGTAAGAGTTATCCTGATGGACGTATGGGGGAGGTTATTCCATGCAGAAACTGCAAAGGCTTGGCTTGTTTGTTCTAAATTGTACAGATGTTGGGGATCAGAGCGCTGGTACAGCAACATTCTGGGTTATCATTTTACCCTTTTGATTTTTAGAAAAGGGGGACAAGTAGAGATCTGGACTTGCAATAATCCAGTTTTGATGTGCTAGAGGAGCTTCTCTAAGACCAGTGAAAGATAGTCCAGGATACTGAAACTAGGAAATCTAGGCTCTGCTCAGTGATCTCTCTGCCCTTAGGCGACACATTCTTGCCCTTAGATTCTCGCTTT